CCCCACCCCACCTACAACCCACATCTACACATGTTCAGTTAATTCCCACTCTTTCATCACATCAGAATCTCCTGATATTGCCTCACCCATCACCTTACACCGCTTTCTAGGGTTTGCCATAATTGTACCTGAACATCAATTTAAGTGTGTGTTTGGTTAGTCTGACTCCACTCGGTGTAAGGAGCTCAAGGCAGGGACTTTTCCCACCTTGTTGGCTCTGGGTCCATAATGCCTAGAATAGGATGGGTCCGACACAAGGTAGGTGCTCCGTATACACCATGGAATGAGTAAATGAATACATGAATAAATGAACCTGGAACAACACCCCTGCACGCCTCCTTTCCAGTGCTCTGTTTTGCCTCTGTCAGAGCATGAACAACAATATGCAGGAATGTTCTTTTTATGCCTGTGACCTCCCGGCCACCCTCATTTCCAGTGCGTTCTCAGGGCACAGTGGCTAAACCTTAATTGTCACAGTATTTACAGTGCTCAGGATCTGGAATGGAGTCAGCCTCAGGACAAGGGATGTTCTCTTCCAGCTCTGCTAACTGGCCCCTTCATGAGTCTTGTTTCCTGATTTCCACAAGGCAAGAATTCTGCAGCAGGAGTCCTCTGACCCTGTCCTGGCTAAGACTCTAACTTTCTAGAATTTCCTAATCAGAAACATTCACTCTTTTCTGTTTAAAAATAAAATAAATTTGGGGGATTCCCTCTTGCATCCTACTGTGCCCATTAAGACGGTGCTTTAGAAGCCCCTCAAAGACTTGGCCTCCGGTGGCAGAGCTGTCTTGGGCTGCCCAAGAGGAGAGAGGCCTCCTTACTCCTGCTGGAGAACACACAATGCATCTCATTGATCTAACGCTGGTCTGGGAATTGGAAGCTAATTAGATCGGATCAGCAAACAATGCAGCCTGTTTTCAAACTGTGCTGAGCTTTCAAGCGATTAGGCTTTGCCAGGAATGAAAGGTCATGGGCCAGCCTGTTAGCTATGCAAACAATTGAATAATGAAAACTCTGATCGTTACAGTGCTGATTATTAAAGCTGGGCTTTTCTGATATGAGTGAAACTTTATCCCTTTTTTTCTAATGTTGGAAGAAACCAGAGGGAGTCAATGGCGTGGGTGAGAATGCTAAATCTGGACTGTCTGCAGAGTGACGTGCTCATCTGAGCACTCTTGGTCCCTGCTGCCAGTCCTTCGGACGGCCTCTGCTTAGCTGCTGTTACAAACCAGTAACACAAATGGAATTCCAGCTCCTCAATTAAACCCCCGTGAAAGGCAGGGCCGCTCACTTTTCGGCTCCTGACATGATAGACAGCAGAGGCATGCAGCGGGGTGTGAGTTCTCTGCAACTAACTTTTTAGCTTTAGAAGAGTCAGCTTTGGGAGCCTCTAAGCCCCGTTTCCAGGTCTGACAGTGACCTCTGCTGAGGGACGCTGTCAGATGCCATGCTGTCACACAGGCAAAGCGGCCTGCCAGGGGGCTAGTACAGAAGAGGGGCTTGATAAGAAGAACCCAGGGCAGTGAGGGGCATAGAGGCTGCAGCGCTGGGAGTACTGGATGTTCTATGGGGGAACTCTGTGATTAGTGCTTAAGACGTAAGGCATCTCCAAGCTCATCTGGCAGGTTCCCTAGGACAGAAAGGAGGCAGAGGCAGCCCCCTACCTAATGCCAGGGTACCTTTGGCAGGAGTGTTCCCTGGGCTGCAACTTGCATCAAGGTTCAGTTTAGACAGATTGCAGAATGGTGAGTAACCCCCTTCCTAGAAGGCATCATGACTTACAGATATTAAAAGTCTCTACAATTTACAAGTCTCTGCTAGGTGCTGAGTATGATGTCCACCCATTATTATTGGTCCCTATGCAGGGACAATGTTGCCCTTCCCGCGATGCAGATAGGGAAACTGAGCTCAGAGAGGTTAACCCAGTCACCTGAGCTCACACAGCTGGCTGCGGGCAGACCCAGGGCTGGAACCCGGGCCAGTGTGGGTGCCAAGGCCTTGTTCTTCCTGCTAAACCAAATGAGGAGCCAGGAGGAGGGTCCAAGTCTCAGGACATCCAGCTCCACTTTTCAACCACTGAAATTCTGAGGCGGTCTCGAGTGCTGCATTTATGGGCCTCTTTCATGAAAAGGGAGTCATATTATTCACAGTCGTTTCTTCACCCAAGTTGTCATACCCATGTCAGGACTGACCCATGGAATTGCTTGGTCCTGTGGGACCCGCAGTCAACCAGATGAGGGAGCTGAGGGCAAAGTGGCCTGATGTGGTGGCCCGAAGGGGCTGCCTGGGCAGCTGGGTTCCTGGTCAAAGCAGCAGAAACCCTCCTGGAGGCGCCCAGGCAGAAAGGGAATTTAACAGGAAGCTCATGAGCAAATCAATGGGGAGGCCGAGGATCCAGGTTCTGGAAATGTGCAGAAAACAGCCTGGAACAGAGATGGATCCATGGATACAACAGACGGAAGAAATAAAGCCTGGTGCTCCGTAGATCAGCAGGGCAACTATAGCTTTTAATCAACTGTACATTTCAAAATACCTAGAAGAGGAGAATTTGGATGCTTCTGGTGTAAAGATTGAAGGTGATGGCTGTTCTAATTACTCCGATTTTGATTATATGAGTATACCAGCTTGTCACATGTACCTCCCAGATGTGTACATCTAATATGTATCAATTTAAAAAAATGCCTGGGTAGGCAGTCCTACCCCTACCATCAAAGGACACTCGGCCCCAGTGCCCCAGACTCACGAGGCTGCCACCACTGCAACAAAACCTGGCACCACTGTGACGGGAGTGCCATGGCACCACTGCACTGCCACGAGGAGCGGTCAACCTCACCAGAGATGCGGGGAGGTTGTAGGAAATTGACTGCTGGCTCTGGCAAGATGTGCCTCATTGATGAGCTCATTCAGAGCAGTTTTAATGTTGTGTGCTGAGGGGAGAATGGAAGCTGGCAAAGTGAGTTCTCTTCGGGATTGTCTTGCTGTAACAGGGAGCAGGGAAATGGGGTGGTTAACAGGAGCCTATGGGATCAAAGACACTCTCTGTTTTTTCCTAACATGAGGTAAAATCACATAGCATAATATTAACCATTTTAAAATAAATAACTCAGCAGCGTTTACTACATTCACAGTGTTGTACAACCACCCTTTCCATCCAGTTCCAAAACATTTCCGTCACTCCCAAGGGCAACTGCTCATCTGCTAGGCTGCTGCGTCCACTGCCCCTTTGCCCAGTCCTGAGCCACCGCTGACCTGCCTCCTGTTTCCATGGATTTACCAATTCTGGACATTTCATTTAAATGAAATCATAAAAGTGTGATGGTTTGTGTCTGAGTTCTTTGTTTGTTTTTGAAATGGAGTTTCACTCTGTCACCCAGGCTGAGGGTGCAATGGTGAGATCTCAGCCTACTGCAACCTCCACCTCCTGGGTTCAAGCAATTCTCCTGCCTCAGCCTCCCAAGTAGCTGAGATTACAGGCACCTGCCAGCACGCCCAGCTAATTTTTGCATTTTTAGTAGAGACAGGGTTTTACCATGTTGTCCAGGCCAGGCTCTAACTCCTAACCTCAGGTGATCCACCTGCCTCAGCCTCCCCAGGTGCTGTGATTACAGGCGTGAGCCACTGTGCCCAGCCTGTGTCTGGGTTCTTGGCAGAATGTTTCCAAGGTGCATCCGTGTTGCAGCCTGTATCAGCACTTCATTTCTGTTTATTGCTGAGTAATTTTCCACTATATAGATAGACCACATTTTGCTTATTCATTCATTCATTGGTGGATACTTGGGCTGTTTCCACCTCTTGGCTGTTGTGAATATCATTGCTGTGAACATTCATGCCCAAGTTTTTCTTTGAGCAGCTGCTTTCAGTTCTCTTGGACATCTACCTAGTGGTGGAATTGCTAGGTCATGTGGTGATTTTATGTTTACAGGAATGAACAAACTATTTCCCACAGCGGCTAAACCATTTCACATTTCCACTAGCAAAGGGAATTGTGTCCAAGGGTTCCAATTACTCCACATTCTCACTCACAACTCTTAGTTGTTGTTTTTTTTTTTTTTTTTGAAGTGGGTGACACTAACACATTTTTGTACATAGCCTGGAGAGATCCAATAGAGAGAAAGAAATCGATGATGCAGAAGAGGAATGGGATCATTGCTGGAGGGAAATTTTTGGAAGGTGAGGGGGACACAAGACCCTCGAAATGGGGGATGCTCCAGAATGGGACGTCTGCCTGGATGCTGGACTGCCCAAAGGAAAAAGAGAACTATCTCTGACACTAAGGCCCTATGGTTCACTCTGGTGAGTTCATCCCCTTCCAGTGAGGGGCTCTCCCATTGAGCAGCATAAATGCGGGGTGGGGAGGAGAAAGGTAAGAGTGGAAGGCTCTCTTTAAACCTCAAGTCTTACCCACAGACCTGGTGCTTTTGGGCAAGTGGTACAACCTCTCGAACCTCATATCCTCAGCCATTGAATAGAGAGAACAAAACCTCCGCAGGATGCTCTAGGATTCCATGAGGCTGTGCACAACATGTGTCTGCCATTTACTGAATGCTTCCTAAATGTAGGTCCCTTCCATCAACTCGTCCTGTAGGCTACCTTGCGAATTACTAGATAGGAATAACAGCTTTGCACTTCTTTGTGGACTTCTTAATATCTAGGACAATATTGGGCACATAATAGGTGCTCCATAAACATCTGAAAATACATAAATGAACAAAAATAAAATAAAAAAATAAAAAAAAGAGGGCAATGAGGCACTGATAGAATTATAACAATGACAATGACCATGGGCATGGATTTTGCGAGTGATGGTGCTCAGGTATTTCCCCATAGCTGAGTTTCCTGCCGCATGAACAGAGCAGCCCTCATCTTGCTTCTTTGGATGTAGGACTGGACCCACCTACTTCTTGGTTCCTGCTTTCCCCCTCTTCCATGTCACTTCACTCAATCCTCCCCTCAGACCAGGCAGGTGGGCCCTGAGCTGGGCACATCCTCATGTTAAAAAGAACGGCTCTGACCCCCCAGGAGGCGGAGCTGAGGTTAGTCCATTAGTCAGCAGTGGTTTTGCTGACACACTTCTGCCTTCAGACTCCTGGTTCAGAATATGCTAATGCACACGTGAGCACGTTTGTTATAAGCTGAACTAGCCATCAATAGTCAGCCGTTAATCATTAATCACTTTTCAAGATGGGCATTAGAAGATGTTTACAGTAACAGCTGGATGGAGTTTAATCATTAATGCTATTTTCTTTGACAGTTTCCCAGGTTTACATCTGATTACATGGAGAGCCCATCTATATATGAAGCAAATTCCAGTTGCTCTTTAGACTAGAACAGGCAAGGGAAGCTCCAGGAGACAGGTAAGTCACGCTCACAGACCTGGGTCTGCTTCAAAGAGGATTTCAAGAATTACCAAGGCTGTTACAGAACAGCAGGAATGAGGGATTTGAAAACTGAGGGATTTGAAATCAACTTTACAGGATTCTGGTGAAGATTAAGGGAGAATATGCACGTAAAGTGCTTAGTATGGTGTCTGACAAGTGCTAACACAGAAAATGAAGTTGATGATGAGCGGTTATGGCTACAGCCATTGTTCCAGTGTCTGATAATCTGGTAATCTCTCTCTTTTCTTTCTCACTCCAATCCCTCTATTCTCCCTTTACCTCTCTCTTTCTTCTCTCCCTTCTTCCTCCTCCTCCCTCTCCTCCTCTTTCTTCCTCTCTCTCTTCTTTCTTCTCTTTTTTCTTCTCTTCCTTCCCTTCCTTCTTTTCTCCCTCCCTTCCTCTCCCTCTTCCTACTCTCACTCCCGCTTCTTTCTCGCTCTCTCTCCCACCTTAAAGCTGCTCTATTTTTTATATCCATTTTCAATTTCTTGTTTTGTGATCCACTTTAGTTTCATGCCAAAGTCAGCAGACAACCCTGAAAATTAAGAATAAAGTCACAGCCAAGTGTGAGTCGGAGAACTCGAGGCCCTGGGTGTGTTGTGGGTCTCTCAGTCCAGAGCTGTTGGCCAGCGACTTGTAGGATGCATATGGCTTTGCCCTTGTAGGGCCACATCTTGGAGTGGACAGTATCTGAGGCAGCGACCACAGGCACTTCAAGGAAGTGTGATCTCCAGCTGGCACGAGCGGGGATTGGGAGAACAAATCCACCTTCGCAGTTTGCCGACCTTTGTGTACACTGGTGCTCACCATTCTTTTCTTCACCTTGGTCCTTCTACCCAACGCCAGCTTCCAAGCGAGGGCCTGCCTTCATGCTGTCTGGGCTCTGATCCAAGCTCTGTGACAGGTTGGGTGGATGCAGTTACTTCTCTGAGCTTTGGTTGCTTTTTTTCTAACAGGGACCCAGAATAGCATCAGACACAAGGTCTTATTAGCAGCAGCAAAGGTCATTTTCTAAATCTTTAATCCCAGGTGCAGCCTAGGTGGGGGCCAGATTGCCTGGAGCAGAGTCCTCATGTTCTGCTGTGCTGTGCTGGATGGTAACCTAGCTGCTAGGTTATGGGGAGGCCCTGCCGAAAGGGGCGTGGGCTGCCTAGGTTGCAGATGGGCATTCAGGGGACCTGTGGAGGTGGCTATTCACCAATGGGCACAGCAGCATTTTGATCTTTTAAGAACCAGTATGACTGCAGCGGTGGGCACCAGCAGAGCATGAGTCTTGAATAGCAGTAATTTTGGTATTGTTGCTGCAGATGGGAAAGGCAGGGAGCACGCATGTTTAGAGCGCTCACCATACACAGAGGTTGTGCTTTAATCTTATGAATTTTATTTATTATTTTAATTAAGCCTTAGAAAATTATTTTAAGGAAGTTTAAGTTTCTCTAGTCAGAGACCAAATGGGCCCCCCTCCTTTCTCTCTCTCTCTCTCTCTCTCTTTTTTTTTTTTTTTTTTTTGAGAGAGTTTTGCTTTGTTGCCCAGGCTGGAGTACAGTGATATGATCTTGGCTCACTGTAACCTCCACTTCCCAGGTTCAAGTGATTCTCCTGTCTCAGCCTCCCGAGTAGCTGGGACTACAGGTATGTGCCACCATGCCTGGCTAATTTTTGTATTTTTAGTAGAGATGGAGTTTCACAATATTGGCCAGGCTGACCTCAGGTGATCCACCTGCTTTGGCACCCCAAAATGCTGGGATTACAGGTGTGAGCCACCGTACCTGGCCCTTTTTTTCTTTAAACCAGTTTTAAGACAGCATCCCTTCCACAAGGCATTTATGGACAAGGAGCACCTTTTCTGTGTTCCACAGAGGCTATTACTTGCTGTGCCTCTGGGAATGATGAGGATTGCTCGGGTGCATCTAGCATTTGCCCTGTTTCACATACACAAACTCACGTAATCCTCGTGACAGCCAACTGAGGTAGGTCCTGTTATTTCCTCCATTTGAAACATTATAAAATGAATGTACAGAGAGGTGAAGCAGTTTTCCCCATCACACAGCTAGTAAGCCGTAGAGCTGGGATTTGAACCCCTGGCTCCAGAGTCCCTGTCTGGGATGCGAACTGTCTGCATGTGGCCTTGCACTGCACAGGCAGGCAGCGTCCCACTGTGACATCCCAGGTACAATGAAAGCGTCTTCAGCTCTGTAGTGATCTCTGAAGAGTGAAGCACACAGTTTCGAGCCTCTGCTAGAGACAGCTCCCTGGCAGTGGGGTCTTATTGACCTAGCAGCCCTGTTCCGTTTCCTTGCTGATGGGGAGTAGGAGAACATGGGAGTTCACTGTGGCCCAGGAAGAAGGACAACCCACCACCCACATCCTCCTGGAGCTGACCATGTTCTCTATCTGCAACATGTTTGCTGGGAAGAATGCACAAGTGTCTCTTCGTCCTCGGCCTCCTCTCTCTCAGCACAGAGGCTTCATCA